ATGTTGTGTTTTGTGTAAACAATTAGCCTGTAGCCTGATGGACTCTTGCATTTACATGACACATTTCTATTCCACAAGAGCAGTCCTGTTTACCATTCAGTCATTGAGTCCAAATTCTGTAGACAAATGTATCTATGGACCCTTTCAGTGTTTGTAAAAAGGACAGCTACATTCAAAAGGCTGGAATGGTTCTAAAAATATGTTTTAAAAGGCTCACAGTGTTTTTTATCTATGTTACATTGTTATATCCTCATCAAAAACAAACCTGGAGTTTGTTCTGTTTCATTCACACATGTGTAACACACAAATCCTCTGTTCCACCTTGTTATGTCATGTAGTAATATGGGAAGTGCTCCACTGTGTTTTTAAACTCTATATACTTTTATACTCTTATACCTTTATTTCATCAAGCACCACAAATCCTGGATACATTTGTGAGCTTTAGAAAACTGTTCTTTTAAAAAGGACATACAAAATCAAACAACAATATAGAGGAGCTAATAGTTAGATGTTGACTTTTAATACTTGTTGGCAAATATATACCATAACAACCCCTTGTTTTTGCAGTCTCTAACATCAAAATTCGTGTTTTTTATTTTAATGCCTCATTAAAAAGAATGGGAAAGAATTTTTATCGACCAGACAGTCTGTGCGGTCATTCCTGGAAGAGACTATGTAAGTTAAAATTAGATGTTGACAGATTTGCTTTTAAGAAGAATTCAATGCTTTTAATGCAGTTAATGTCATGCACTCTGGGCTTCTCTTCTTTTTTCCAATGTGTTTTTATACTGGCAAATCAACCAAAACTAAAACGTTTGTCTCAGGGTCCTTTTGTTAGACTTGGCTATGACATACCATTGAAACTTTTGCTATTTGCCTGAACATGGAACAATCAACTCCAGTCTTAAATGTTTCTCAGTATGTTATTTTTTACTTTTTATTTTTCTTTTTTTTCATAAGAGGCCATGCTGGTTATGACACAATCTATTCATACATTTCTGTGCATGGCTAATGCACCTGTCAATCACATCCATCAGAACTCAGTGAAATATGACTAAACCTAAGGGTGCTTTCACACCGCTAGTTTGATTATTTGGTCCACACTATGCAATAAAATTGTTATTTTGTAGCATATAGACACCAGTGTGGTCCGCTTTCACATCTGCAAACAAATTAAAATTGGTCCGACTGACGTATATCCAAGGCTCTTGAGCACAGCGGGTTCGACTGCACGTGGCTCGAGGACGCTGAGGCTCTCCCGCACGCCAGACCTCTCGGAGGTCCTGCCTAAGAGCCTCCCTGGCCCAGTGTGATCAGACTCACAAACCTACAGACTGCCATCCACAGGGCGTCCGGACTCAACTTTGGCCCCTGTCACACCCCTTAACTGGGGAGCAAGAGCCCACCGCCTGGGCCCCACTGGCCTAGTGTGTGCACACAGGGCTACCTGGTTGATCCTTTGATCCTGCCAGTAGAATATGCTTGTCTCAAAGATTAAGCTATGCAAGTCTAAGTACACATGGCCAGTACAGTGAAAGTGCGACTGGCTCATTAAATTAGTTACGGTACCTTTGCTTGCTTTACTGTTACTTGGCATGATTAGTCGATTAATCGATAACTGATCATTAAGAATTTAATCGATTACGTTCATTTTAATCGACAAACCGAATGTAGGTTGCTGTGCATAGCGTGACCAAACAGGGTCCGTACATGTAGCTCTCTGCACTCAGAAGGAGCGAGCAAACACAAACAATCGGTCAGCCTGCAACGTGCCAAAGTGCAAATGGGTATTTAACAATGAAATGTACAAGAAATTCCATGCTATCCGTTGCGTTCGGGACAAATAGGAGGCCATGTGCACAGTGTACAAAGCAGTACATATGTTTCGGTGTCCAGTGGGAAAAAGCTTTGCCAGGTGAGAGTCGCGCAATGTCGATGACGAGTCCCCACCTCCCACCCCCCGTACGGTGTCCTGGTTTTGACAAATGCAAATATGGTCACACTAACCTGTATTCCACTGAGTCGTATCGCATCAGCGCACAAGAGCTGTTTTTTTTTCTTTGCTTAAGTTATGCAAATTAGCCATGCGGTTTTAAGTTTCGTTTCTGTGAGAGTTGTGCAAAGCTGCATTAAACACATTATAATCTCAAACGGGCTGATGTGGCTCTAGAGTGGTTACAGTTTATATGTCGTAATTTATTTATGCAGATTAGTAGTGCAGATAGTAATAATAATGAATATAAATTTTGATATAAAAAACTTTAATGATTAATCAATTATTGATCGTTAATTCTCCCGACGATCGATTAAGAAAATTTAATCAAATGCCCATCCCTAGTTTGGACCCAAGTTTGCGTTCTCACCAGAGGGACCGCACCCCAGGTTGGCATTTGGTGCAGAGTCAAGCAGTCTGAGATCACCTCTTTTTTGGGGCCTGCTTGATGTAGTGCGGATCTGAGTGCGATTGATGCTTTCACACCAACAAAACCAAACTGAACTAGGAGCTTCTGGTTCAAATGGAATGGTTGGTGTGAAAGCGCCCTAAGATTGCCCCTTTTTGTATAGTAAGTGTAAACTTAGATGGCCAGGCTACAGTGCGGTTAATGAGAAAGAAAGTGTGCTGAGATGTCCGTGATTATACTGCATCTCACACGGGTCACGTGGGCCATTGTAAGCTGGTGGACAGTTTGACAGCACACAAAGACACTCCCCGCAGTACGTGCGTCTGTACTGTAGAGGACACAGCAGCTGATCAGCTAAACGCCTCAAATCTGTCACGTATAATTTGGCCTCCCTTGTCGCTCTGTCCCATTTTCTCTTTACACGCCGTTCCAGGTCAGTGGACACCAGTCGCACCTAATTCGGTCATTTTATAAAGCTGCTAATTATCGCTAATGCCATTTGCCTGTTTTTTAAAGGTTTATTGGGATTTTAATAGTGTAATAGCTACAAATGCCACATCCAAATAAACCATTCATGTTTGATTTGCATAGCCAGTGATTATTATGAATGAGTTAGCGCATATAAGGCAATTTTAATATTTATTAATAACAAGGAGTACTTTGTATGCAGAATCAGACCTATCTCGCAATATGAAGAGACATTTAAATTGTCCCATTGATGAAGATGAATCAGCTCCTTGTTGTTGCTGTCTTCATATACGGCCATTCTTTTGTTTCATAAGTAGTTACAATAAGTACTTTCAGTAATGAGCAAAGATACTTCAGAATGCAAAACATGGCCTCAGAGGCAGGACTTTTTTGTATAAGTATATGCAAAGCGTTGGGAGTTAGAGGAAAATACATCCACTGCCCTCCTTCGGGACTGGGTACGTTCCATATTAGCATTGAAAGTGTTGCTAATAGGATGCATTTTAGGCTTTGGTGGATTGTGCTTGAGATGGTTAATAACGAAAAGAGTTGTTTGATTTATGCAGTGATTCAGTTAAAAGCAATTTTCTGCCTTTTGAGACATTTACTGTGGTGAAATCTGTTGCATTTTGAGGTTGTCAAGTTGTCAGTCAACAAAAATGTGCACTTACAAAGCACACTCCCTCAGAAGATTTCTTCTTTTTAAAATGCATTTTCTCTGGTAAGATTTTGAGTTGACCTTAATATCAACCCAACAAAGGCAATTTTACAATAAAATAATTGACACTTTTATGCATTGTTGTTCCCAGTGATAACAAATTGTACATGCTCTTATAAACCATGTTTTTTTTTCAGCAAACAGAAGACGCAATTTGAATATCACAATCTTTCTGAAATGATGGGAAGAAATTGTTGGCAGGAAAAAAGTGAAATGGTAACTTCCAAATCAAAAAGCAGCAATTGAAGTAAACCAACACTTGCCTTTAGCTATGATGGACAAGGCAAAATGTTCTATTCGGTGAACCACAAACTACTGAATATATTACTGATACCGATACTGATATTGGTACCGATCCATGCAATTTTGTCGGATTAGATATCTGTCGCTTGATATCAGTTCATCTATTCTGGTTGGGGCTTATATTAGATGTAAAATGACCATTTACTGGCTGATGTAGATTATGTTAAAATAATGATTGAACTTCTATTCATACAGAGTTGAACAGTAATTACTTTCAGGACAAATAACAATTACATAACACAACTGAATCAAATTTGTATTACGTTAACTGTGTTGTTTTGGGGGAAAATTGCAAGTCTCTGCATGGTTATTGGTTAATTTCATGTATCAGCAGACACTTAAAGCATTGTTGAAGTATTGATACTAGTGTCGGGGCTGAAAAAGCTGGATCGGTACATGTCTAGAATATATTTAATGTATGTGTATATTCATTTATTAATTGCAATTTGAAATGACTGTCCAACATTGTTTATCTGCTTACACAAACCAAACTAGCAAAGCAAAGGAATAACCCGCCAATAAAGCACAATTATTTAAAAAAATCAAGTCTGGATTTAAGGAGGTTGTTGCGTATTCCATTGGCTATTAGCTTGAATGATCACTTGTTTTGCCCTTTGCCAATGTGTCCTTGGGCAAGACAAGAAGATAGGGCATTGCTCCCAGTGGTCACAGCATGCCTCAGTGAGTGATTGAGTGCACAAGACAGAACAAAATGTCTTACATGACAGGAGAAACCAGAAGAGCACCAGTGATTTCACTTTGACAAGACTTCACACCACAAACTCAACATGAGCCAAAGATAATATTTGAGCACTTATAATTACAAAAAGTCATTTATTCGAACAAAAGATGTATTTCTTTTGAGGTGCGGGGTATGTGAATCGTGCTGGCGTATGAAGTGAACTACTAAATGATATAATGATAAGTGCTGCTGACCAGGCATGATCTGAGAGTCGATACCAGAATTACACAGTGTGGTAATGAAAGAAGGAACGCGCCTGGCCAAGAGGTAGAAAATTAAGCCCCTCAATCTCCCTCCCCCTCTCCACACACACTGCAGAGCCATTCTCAAATGAAGGGGAATAATGTTAGCAAGGAAAAAAACCCACCTGCTGAAGTTGGTTCCTCACCATCTGCTGCTGTAGAGAGAAGAGAGAGAGAGAAAAATGCATTAGTTTTATGGCATCTATATGTCAATGCGCTCAGCTGCACAGAAGTGCTGAATCCACACTGATATTATTAGACTCTATACCGGCAAGAACAGAGATATATGTTCTTATTACATATGTGGGACAATTAACACAACTGCACACCATGAACTAAAGAAAAGTGTGTAAGTGTAAAGTAAAATGTCTGAACATTTCTAAGAACACTATGAACATTTAAATAACTAAAATAATAAGCATATTGTCAAGTTGTAAATTAGCTGTGTGTTTATGTACGTATATGTTTTATGCGCAAAGGAAGTAATGCCTGTGTCCATGCTCACAAACACATGCACATTGGAGGCAAGGTGGCTAGAGTGCCAACAATACAACAATACAACAGTAGTATTATTGTCAACAGTACAACAATATGGCTGAAGTTGGAATTGAGTCACTAATCTGAGAACTGATGCACCAGTGCTCTGCCTCTGAGTCACCTGATTTGGTCCACCTATGGTAGGATCCATAGCAAACCTTCTTTTGCTATGGATCCCACCTGGTCCAATATGGATATTTTTTGTTCCGCTGCCGATATTCAAACTTTATCTTGTTGATATTGCATATATTTGACAATATCAATATTCAGCTTTTAAAATCTGTAGCAAGAAACCATAATTTTTTGTTAAGTTATACTAAATTCACAAATTTACTTTTCACTTTTGTAAAAAATAATAACATGTATTTATCTGGGCTCTTCTTGCATGATTGTGTAAACATACAGCCATATTTCTACACACAGACAGGGCTTTTATAATCAGTATTTTCCACCACCAAACATTAACCATGGCTATTAGTGCTAATCCCTAGAACTGTAAGTGTGGCTCCATCCACACCTGCTGCTACCTGTAGGCACACTGTCCCAGCAGGACATAAAGCCCCACAGCAGTGGACATGTGTGCTGGCACCACACACACACACCCCTCTCCTGCCCCTCCCCCATCGGGACAGGCCCGGTCAGTCCACTCATGTATGTGCTCCGGATTTTGGCCCAGAGCAGGATTAGCCCCCGTGGCATACATCCCCCTCCACTGCCCAAGCCAAGTCTACAGCTGAGATCTGGCCTGTCTGCCACCATTACTGCTCTGCTCTATCTCTATCAGCGATTCAAGAAACTGTGCCAAGCCGGACATGCAAACAGAACACAGGAGGAATATGAATGAGGAGCAGAATGAAGTCAGATGAAGTCCACATTTCTGGCATTTGTAGGATGTTAGCACATGTATTAAAGGGCCTGTATTACTCAATTTTCTGGTCTATATTACAATATTGTTTCCTCATTGCAAACATACCTGGAGTTGTGCTTTGTTTTTTCCCACGTTTAACACACAAATCCTGCATATTTAGACTAAGTTCTTCTCTCTAACAGAAAACACTCAGTTCCACCTTGTGATGTCATGTGGTAATATAGTGTTCCACTGTGTTTTAAACCTTCACTGGAATCATTTGGATCCATTCAGATCTGGAATTGCCAATCTCTACTTAACTAAAGGTAAAAGGTAGCTGTTAACTAACACTTCATGACATCACAAGGTGGAACAGAGCAGTTTGAGCTTTGGCGATGTAGGCAGACTGATAATGCAGAACTACTCAAACATGTGTGAATGTAACAAAACAACTCCAGGTGTGTTTTTGAGGAGGCTATGACATTCTAACATGACTTAAAGCTCACAAGAGTCAATTCTGCATACATTTTAAGATTACTATAAATGGGATATGGAAACATGTAAATCTCATAACCTAAGTTCAGCCTGCACCTGCGTTATTGTGGCAATGTGCTGTCAAAAGGAGAACCATGTAATCTATTATGCAATTAGCTTTAAGCGGTTTGAATATTACACTCTCTCAGGTATGGTAGTGCAGTTGTAAGTGATTGCATAGTTGTGTGATTCTAAGGCTTAGAACAGGGGTCATCAAACTAGTCCCCGACTCCGGCCCTCCACGCTTCCATTGACCGGCCTCCCAGCCCCTCTGCTCCCCACCACTTGAACTGGCCCTATGAGGTAATCCTCAAAAGTTGTCATGGCCTATTTTTTACTTTTTGGCAAATAATAATACAACTGCATCTTGTATTCTGTTGATTTTTTTTTTCATTTTTCATATGAAGTATTTATATTTATATTTAAATAATTATCTGACGTGTTTACATTTGCCGCTGAATTTTCGTCACTTTACAAGCTCGAGATCAAACAATGACAGTCAACGCACATGCAGAGTACTGTAGTGCAGCAGTTAAGGACAGCAAAATGGATAGGGTTAAAGTATAAAAATTTGACAAAGAATGCAGAGTTTTCAAAGAACAGTGGATGACTTTTTTTTTTTTTTTTCCTTCAGTGTAAGGACCGTGCAGTTTGTTTGATATGTAAAGAAAGTGTGATAGTTTTCAAAGAATATAATCTGCGTTGTCAGGGTCTTACAGTTCTATTATACGGCCTACCAGACCCCAGACCCCCATCACAGTCAGGAGCAATAATGTGGCCCTCAGAGAAAAAAATTTGGTGAGCCCTGGCTTAGAAAATATCAGAGAAAAAAATATATCCCCCAACAATGACTTTCTTAATAGCAAAAGTAGTAGCACAACAATACTGCATATATTGGGGAAATGCTCTGAATATAAAATTACAGTTGTCCATTGTCCACTGGCTTAAACCTACTTAATATAGAATACATATGCCTCTATATGTTATGCTCTGACATCACAAGAGCATAGATTTGTAGTATATTGTGCAGTCCTAGTTTCTATGACATGTTTCAATCCACAGGGGTCTGTCTCTGTGTCAAATGAACTGAAACCCCAGGCTCTGCACATCAAATGGGATCTAAGGCAGAATTAAAAATGCATGTTGGTTATTTCTCAACACTAATGACACATCCTACAAATCAGATATGAGTTTAATTAAAGCATGACTCAATGCCATGTACATGTTTTCAAGCCTCCCCTGCATACTAATTATGTATTAGCATATGGGGAGAGTTAGAAGCCACATAGATCATGAGGCAGACAGCCCAACAGTCATGGCCACAAGCGTTTCCTCACTGCTAATCCATCCAAATCTATTTGACAACTCATTAAATCTTTTTCGGGAAGCCAGACAGAGGGCAGACTACACAAATCATACACTGGGCATGGATATTAGAATGGGTAATAATAAAAATATAAATAAAATAGAAGGCTGTAACTATGTCCGACATAATGAAATCCAACATTAAAGGGCCCATATTACACTATTTTCTGATCTATGTTATGATGTTGTTTCTTCATTAAAAATATACCTGGAGTTGTTTTATTCACACATGTTTAACGCACCACTTTCATACTAGACAATGTGGCTGAAGTGTCTTGGAGCGGGAATTGATCCTCTGACCTTCAACGTAGAGGACCATTGCTCTAACCATTTAGCCACTGTTGCCCCAATGCAGTTCTTTCCTCAAACAGAAAACACTCTGTCCCACCTTGTGATATGTACTAATACAGACTCTATACACCTTTAATAGAATCAATTGGACAATTTCAGCTCTAGCATTGCCCACTAAATGTAAAAGGTAGCTGTAAACATGAAAAAATACAGCTGCATGACATCACAAGTTGGAACAGTGCATTTTGACATTTGAAGACAGACTAATAATAAAGGGTTAATTAAACATGTGTGAATGAAACAAAACACAGCTCCAGGTATGTTTTTGAGGAGGTAACAACACTGTAACATGGCTTATAGGAGGAAGGAAAAGGCTTGATATTAATTTCAAAACAAATGAAATAAACACACATAATTTTTCGTGATCGTAAGGTACATTGCTGTAATAGTCCTAGACAGAAAACTGCAGTCTCCTCCACTATGTCCATAGTCAAATCATAACTGTATGCAGTATCCTCTAATGTCCTTTTCAGCCCAGAATAATAAGAGTTTATGGATATGTTTATATGAAATGACAAAACCACTCATAGTATCAATACATCTTATCTTTAAAGCTACCATCTGTATGTTTATTTTATTTTATTTACCAGTAGATGGCAGATGTGAAACCTGCTCCCCTTCTCTCCCCTCCCCTCCCCTGACTTTTGTTTAGGCTCACCTCTGTTCTCTGGTTTTCTTCTGTCAGCGGAAGTTGGCACACTATCAGGCAGAGGGAATGGAGGTCTAGTGTTGTTAAGTGAGAATGCAACCGGGCTGGTCCTATCTAATTACAGATGGTAGCTTTAATTGACAGGAATTTGTACAATTTGTGTCTTTCAAGCTTGCCTAAAACGTTTAAATGTGAGGTACAGCTTTAATATGATAAAAAAGAAAATACTCTAATATGAACTATTAGATATAGTATAATATGTGCACTTGTACAGTTTCAGGGGGTACGAAACTACTGTACAATCGGTTTAGATTAGTATATCAATTTTACCAATCCTAGTTTGACATGGATCTTTTAAACAGCACATTCCCCTCCTGCTGCAGCCTTGAAAAAAAATAACAAAATTGATCTGTGAATTTGGCTCTTTTGGGAATTGAACCTCTGCCCTGTATATGGAAGCCAGGGGTACTGGGGGCCATGGTCACTGACGTACAAGTGCTAGCCATCAGTAACAAAAATACATAAATGTTCCCACAGTAATATGCAGTTGTGCAGAGCTTTGAGCCTTGTCCAACATCATCACTGAAGCAATTCCAGGCTTCTGCAGCTTGAAAATGAAAAGTCCTTTGTGTAGAGCTCTTGGGAAATCACTGTTTTTTCCCCATTCTTTTCATTTAAGATGTATTTATTTGCAAAATTTTATGTGTGTCCCGTCTTCGATTCCAGCTTTTCCACATCAGTTATTAAACAAAATATACATCTGATATTGACCCAGGCCATTTTCTTTTTCCAAAATGAAAACAAGTAGACTCAATATCAAATTATGAACTGGTTTTCTAACTGTTTCAAGTGTGACGTGGTTTGTGAATTGT